AGAGAGAGAGAGAGAACAGAGAGCAAAAGAAGATGCAATGCGCTTCTTGTGTGTTAAGCTGGATTATGCGATCAAATAAATAATAAATATGGAAGAGATTATTCATGCTCTATGCTGTATTGTAACAACATCTGCATTAAAAATCCTTTTTGTGAATGATTTTACAATACATATTATTCATGGGCTAACCCAAGGGTAACCCGAGGGTTAGTCGATTGGGTTCATACGTTAAGCTTGACCCATGGGTCACCCAACCCATCTGGCATCTCTGACCCCTTCAGGGATGGTCTGGGCATAATGATAATTGGATGAGGTGTTCAACGGTTATCGTGTTAACGGACGGACACACTGACCGAATCTAGAGTGTACTCACAAAGTGAGTACACAGAAAAAGATGTATATTCGCTCACACAACAGTACAAGAACATGAAAATACTTCATTTTGTCTTTTCAATGCGTCATCGTTAACTATGCAATAAACTGACTCATTCTATTTTACACGTCATGGGTCCATTTTCTTGTTCTGGAAAATCTTTAATGTTTGTTTCTCGTTTCCAAGGTAAAGAAAAAAACTACCTACGAGAAATTCTGTCTATTCATGTCATTCCTTTTCCTCTCATCCATTTGAGTAGAACCAATGAATCATCTCATTAATGGTGTTTGTTTTACGTTGTCAAGCACTACGCCAATATTCTACGATTAAAGAGAAAAAGAGTTGACATTATTGCGTGTCTGTCATACAAACGATATTCTTATCCAGATTTACAATTAGATAAAAATATATCTAATATTTCCGTATTGAATGGCTTTTATTTTATTTTTATGCTTTTTATATATTCAATTGGTAAAGTAGAAAAGAAATCAAATTATAATGAAAAAATATATATATATTTGTATAAGTCACTTTTAGGCAGTAGTAATTACTCAAGTAACATGGGAAAATTGTGGAAGCGATTTAAATGATATCAAATTACTAAATCTAACAGTGAATCCACATCCAATAGTAGCGCCTGGGCCAGTTTCTATCAATATAACTATTTATACGAATCAAAATTTAACAAGCCCATTAAAGGTTTGTTTTTCATAGTAATCCATCGAATCTTATATATGCATATTTAGGCAATACTATCATTGAGAAAGAAAACTTTTATAGGCTATGTTACAGTTCCATGCTTTACTATTGGTTCATGCATATATAATGATCTCTGTACGTTATGTTCACAATGCAACTGTCCAATGAAAGCAGTAAGTCTTCGTAGAAAACTTCACAATCATTTCTTTCGACTTCTGTTCTAAGGGAGAACACACAATAGATCTTCCCATTACAATCGATTCTCAATCATGGATGCTTGCTGGTAGCTATCAAGCACAGATTGATTTGGAAACTAGTCCGAAACAAAAAGGTTGTGCTAAAATTAATAATATATCCATTAAAACAAATAAATGAATTGAATCACAGAAAGTTATTTAAATTTCTATTTTTTCCTCTAGTATTATTCTGTCAGGAGTAAAATTTTCTCTTTGACAACAAAGTAAACCGTTGCTATAAATAAAAATAATAAACTTCTTTTGGGACAAGCTATAGGCCCGCCATGATTCTCTGTACTAGTAGAGTAATTCAAGGCGAATTCTTCATCACACCATTTTATCATCGTATTTAGCTTCCGATAGCCACGAAAAAAAGAAGATTGAGAAAATTAGTTTTTAACATTTTCCACACAAATGAAGACATGCAAATGCAAACACTTCACTTTCTTCACATAATGAGCGGTTTTCAGAACTGCAAATTGAAGTATCAACATCCGGTTGACTGCAATTAACTAAATATAAAATAGGATATTAAAAACATACCGAAAAAAAGAACAATCTATTTTTTTACAATATTCGCATTCACGTCCATATGTATTCTCTAAACAATAACAAAAACAACCATCTTCTATTTCTGGTGTTCCACCATTTTGACAATAAAGTCTACAGATCGATGAAGACCGAGTACTTGTTGTTAATTGTGTAGTACTCGTTTGTGTTATAACTATCATTTAAAACAAATTGGTTTTGTTATTCAAAAAATATCTTTACTTGGACGAACAAGAACATTTTCTGCTCCGTATCCATTGCATTTATTATTGGAACAAAAATATGTTTGTATTCCATTGTGTGAACTAACTGAATTTGATGGTCCACATGCCCACCAACAACAACGTCGTTCAATCATTGCTAGAGAAAAAATATATGTATATCGAGTCTTTCCAGGCTTTGTTTTCTTTCTACTTTGATCATTTGGATTTTGATAAAGCATACAAGTAGGACAATTCATTAACAAAAAAACTGATCCTTCTTTACCACAATCTGGTCCTGAACAGTCATAGCATTGAAATGACGATTGTACTGTAATGGTCGTGGTTGAACTCGAACTCGAAACTAGAATACAAGGTTTCTGCATGTTAATTTTTCAGCATTTTCAAATGACCTGTTCCGCCGAGAAGCACTGACTCTGCTCCAATTCCATTACATCGATTCGAATAACAAAAATATGCTCTACGACCTTCATAGTCATCAATAGTTCCAGATAATCCACAATTGGATGTACAACATCGTCGATTGACTCTATCTGAATATTGAGAAACGTTTATTTGATTTATTTCTATTAATGTTAAAGACTTGCTATCATCGAATGTATTCAGATAAATCACACATGATTTACATCCATAAACGATTGTCGACTCATCAATTCCACATTTTGAATTATAACTAGTGCAATCATAGCAACCTAGAACTAAATCTCGTTTTCTTCTAATGATACAACTTCTCAAATTGAAGATAGCCGATGACTTACCATCATCAGTAGTTGATAAAACTGACGTTGTTGATGTTAATAATGGATCAATTATTTCTCCGAACAATTTCTCATCTGAACGAGCATCATTGCACATATCTTCAGAGCAAAAATAAGTCGGATATCTTCCTTCATAGGGTCTCAAACCATCTTTACTCCCACAGTCATTTGTACAACACCGTCTAACTATCGTACCTGCTATTTTGTTTTTTTAAACAAAAATCGATTAAATACTCGACAGTTATTTTTTTCTTACCGCCATCATAATTATTTCGATAGATCATACATTTTCCTGAACATTCAACTGCAAGATAAGTTTGTCCTTGTCCGCAAGAAACGTGTCCTGTACATTCATAACATTTTAGACTTTTACATGGAACTAAATAAATAGCTAAGAATATGATAAGTACATATTCGACTAATATCATAATAATATTCTAAGACTAAAACAATCGAATGTTATCAATCATTTTCTTTTTTTTATCAAATTCTTAAGCTCCACCTCCGTTTTCATATTTGATTTTCTCGCAAATATAAAAAAATACGACATCGGCTCTTCTTTCTTATATGAATAAAAAGAACTATTGATGAATGTTCGATAATAGGCCAAGCACTGAATGACATCGGGGAAAAAAGAAATTGTTTTCCTTAGTAGCATCCTTTCAAAATTAGTCACATTTAACATTACATTATATGAAAATTATAAGATAATATCTGTTGTAGTTATTATTAGTTTCTATGATCTTCTAGATATGTGTTCGTTAGTTCCGAGTTAAATATAGTAATGAGAAAATGTCACAAAAATATCAGAAGAAGAAGGATGTTATTATAAAACCATTTTAGTGTTAAATAATCTATAGATAGAAAGTAATTAAAAACAAGTTTTTCTTAGTCAATGAGTACTTTCGTATTCTATCCGAATAATCCTGAAAACTAACAAAAAGAAACAAGAACTTCACGTACTATAGACTCGGATGCTTTCTATATAGCGTACTTTAAAAAAAATATCAATTTAAGAGTTTTTTGTCGTAAAATAATCGATAATTGTGTAGGATTTCCGAAAAGAAGCCGCTCCCACATTTCTATAGATATAATTATAGTGACATGAGAGAGAACAAAAAACCTCGACAGAATACACCTAGAAAAAGAAAATGTCCATTAAGTTTTAGAAATGTTCTTCGTCGAGAATAGGGTTTGTCTAACTAGTTGAACATTGATCTGCCTCGATAATGCAAACTCTCTCGTACTTTATTGCAAGAGCAATAATTTAAGACTATTCATGTTTGAATATTTATGAGTTTAACTTACTTCTTTTTTTGATTTCGCTGTGTGTTACGACACATTTAAGATAATGATATTTGCTAGATAGTATTATTCAAATGTAGCTTTGCTTTTCTTGTAAAAAGTGATCCTCTCTAGTAGATAACTGTCATCTCGTATTGCAGAATTAATTATACATATATATTCAGCCATTTCGATAACATGATACCGTTCACACTAGTTATATTTTTCTATTCAAACGTGCATCTAAGTGCTTATTTTAAGTGTCATTTGAGTTGATAGTTATTTTTATTTTATTTAGTAAAAAGCACCAATTGCTCTCTGTGAAAAAAGAAAACCTCTTTCAAACTTTTTTCTTTCTTCTTCACATCATGATGCTTTCCATCTAACTAAAAATCTTAGTAAGAGTTCTTCCTTCTTTTCTATGCCAGTATTATTCTAACCAGTATTGTCAATATTCATAAGTGCTGTGTACTAATCATTATTATCATTGCATTTAGTTTTTCTTTTCTCTCCTTATACGTGTGTAAATTTTCTTTCCTTCTTTCTTACATTTTTTTTGCTACTTTCATGTTTTTTTTTCAGCTTTTTAATGCATCTACGCTCGAGAAGTTGTGCCATCGGAACATTTATTACAACAGGGAGAGACAGAGACAGAAAAAGAAAAGGAGACATGCTCGTAGGAAGCCACACGATTTAAGAGTGTGACAGATACATGATCTTTCTTTTTATCATGTGATGAGAATACTTTTTGTTATATTTCATTTTGAAGTTATTTCCAATTGTGCAAAACAAAGCAAGTAAGCATGATCAATGTAAAACTTTATTTTTTGTGTCTCATCGAATAATAGAACTAACCTGAAATCAAATAAATAGAAATACTTCATATCAACTTGAGCATACCTTTATGACATATTCAATGATTATCAAGAACTTATTGAAAGATGGAAAAGAAAGTATTGTGCTTTTTTTGAAACATAAGAATTAGACAAAAAACAAGAACTAATCTAACGTTTCATGAAGACGACAAATGGAAGAAAAATACTTTTCTCTGTTTTTTTTAATTTAAAAGCTTTATTAATAATTTTTTTTCATTGTTTTTCTTCCTTTTTTTATATTTATTAGGTTAGGAAGCAGGTACTATCGAGTGAAAACAATGCAGCACGCAATATAGGAGATAATTTCCATCAGACAACCAAGTTTAATGATTTGCAAGCAATAAGCATAATAGAGACTAAAAAAAGAAATAACTTTCTTTTCGAGATCGGTGCCTGTAAATAAGCGGATATTGGTGTGAAATGATGTTCGAATGTAGAACCTAGATGATAGAACTATTTTGTTTTTCTTGTAAGAGTAACATAAAAGGATATTCCAGCCATGCATATCTAATTGAAGCATACAGAATGTTTTGTTCATGATTGTTGTTCTCTTCTAAAATATAATGTATTCCGTTGATACTAATTACGTAGATCGTTTTTCTTCCTACATTGTTTCGACTGAAATATTATCGATTTCTTTAATTCGATGAGCCTGATCATTAGTAAGATGTCGCTAACAATACAAATAGGAAAAAATGAGAAACACCAAGGAACAAGAAAACATTTTCTTTTGCGATCTTTTATCCGTCTACCAGTAGGAGAATTGTAACACCCATGATTGAGTAATCATAATTGCATTTTCTTCTCCTCTTTCTTCTCCTCCTCATATGATACAGGTACATTGTTTCACAAACAAAAAACAGCGTAATTCGATTCTTGTCTAATTATAACGAGATAAATATATATATGAGACCACGATTTTTTTAAAATTAGCCTAAGAAAACTTTTTATGCGTGTAATGTTTTCAAAGACAATTATCATCGTATCGGTCTATTAATGTCAAAGTTATGAAGACAATTTATACTTCCTTTTAAGTCAGGAGAAATTACATTGTATGCTCTAGTTTTGAGACATGAGACTGTCAGATGAACAGCGCGCATAGAGACAGAAGAAAAGAAAATTCATTGTCAAAAAAAAAAAATATATATATATATATATAACGAGAGATTTTGCATTAATAGCTCAATTAGACGTAAGTGCATGCTGAAGATTAGCATTCTTAACAATGATTTCTAGTTAGCGCTTGTTATAAGTAACGAAAATTTTCAAGTTTGCCTTTGCCTCTTAAAACTTTCCTCGAAACTCGTCTGATTGAAAAATAATTGATGGATCTATTGAAATTCTGAAATTTTCCTTTAGAAGAAAACAAACACAACTATGAGATAGCATATTGCTAAGCTCCACTGTTACATTTTATTCAGTATGCGATGGTGTGTAGTAATCATTTTCAAGTGAAGTGAGTTTTGATTATTGAAAAATAATTTTCTTTATTCATAAAAACAAAAATTAAAGGTACGCTCGATTTTTAATTAAATACCATCTTGTCATATTTTGTGGGATATTTACTATGGCAAGCATTGGTCTTGTTTTATTAATATATAAACGTGATCAAATACAGATTGAACATTTGTTAAAAGTAAATATTACCAAAACAGAAAAGAATTCAAGTTCTATAGTTACTGTTTTTTCTTCTACATAGGGCTTTCAAGTACATGGAACTAAATCATCTGATGATTATCGAAAATTGATCGCACTTATTCGTGAAACTCAAACAACACATCTATTTCCGCATTCTATCCATAGCAAAGTAAATATTTCTCATAGCAAATCCTATGTGCAGTTTGAGGTTTATCAGTTATATTCAGAAAAGAAAATTAATTATCAAGCAAGGTTTGTTTTTCAACCCGGAAATCCTGAAAACATATTCGGAAAGAGAAAGACTGACTAATACTAGTGATGTCAAGGTGTCCGGATCATAGGACATATTCAAATTTAATTTGATAATTATACGTCTTCTATAGAAATTTCAGCAAACACCATACTCAAATTTCAATCCACATATCGATCCGTGTTCGAAACGATTCTATTCGTCCACATGTCCTATTTGTAAGTACAAAGAATTGTTGTAGAAAAAGCAAAACTTCAATTTTTCAATTTCAGTACATTACACAGAATTAACATTTGCTTTGAATAATAATTCAACAACATTATTTGATGATATAACTAATTTTAAAACAGTATGCGAACTTGAATGGTTATTACGTATGAGATTTACCAATTGCTCATTAATAATCAATGATTCCTGTTGTCAATTCATAGGACCAGGTAGAAAATAATCTTCTTCTTATTATTTCTTTTATATTCTAATACACGTTCGGCTATTAGAAAAAAGAAAAGAAGAAGAAATCTAATCATACTAATAATCAATGAATACAATAATTCGATTTTCTCGCCCGGTCGAAAAACTTTTCTACTTATTTATAAATAATTAAAATTCTATGAAGATATTAGAATAATTTTCTTTTTCCAGGAAGCAAAAAAATCCTGAGAAAAATTCATCGAAACATACTTGTAAGATTCTCGTATGACAAAAACTTATATTAGTAGTGTAATAGTAAATCGGCCTATCCGCTGACACCTCCATCCATCTCGCCTATTCATGATAATGATATCTCGGTAGAAATTAAAAACCGAGAAAAATCTTTTTTTTCCCATTTAGTACGACTTCTTTTCGATGGACAATTCAATTCATTCGAACAATGTGAAAATCTTACATTAAACCAATTAGGAAAATTTCAATCTCAATGGTTATCATGCAATTTATCGTTATGTCCAAATACTCATCTTTACAATTATCTTCAAAATCTTCGATCGTCGTCAACATTTAAAATCTACATAAATATTGAAAATAATACAGAAGATCTTCTTGATTTATATACATATGTTGACAATAAAGATTATCAATATAAATTTCAATTACTAAACATAAAATTTGATTCCAATGATGAACAAATTATATTTAACTATCTTCTTCAAACGAATCTACCATTATTATGTTTCACTATTAGTCTTTATCTATTATGTCTTGTATTATTTGTTAAAAATATTTTCTTTATTCTAATTATTATTCTACATGTATTTATAACAATACTCTTCAGTTCAATGATTTACATTTATGTATTTCATTTTCCAATAGCTATACTGAATTGTACAAGTATAATATTATATCTATTCATAATATTTATTGACTCATTTCTTTGGTATACATGTTGGTCGGTTAATAATCATCGGCGAGATGATTGTACAATACATCGTATTATGGAAAATTTGTTAACACAAATATTTTATTATTTAGTACCAAAAAATTTAGTAGCTATGATGACACTTGTTATAACATATACAAATCAAATTATAGTCTTACAATGTTTTGCAGTTTTTTCTTTTCTACTTGTATCAATCTCGTTTTTTGTTTCATTTACACTCTATCCTGGTAAGTAAAAGCAAAATTACAGCTTAGAAAATCTAGGCAAAACTATTTCAAATTTTTGAATTTTTCCTTTTTTTTAAATCTTCTTAGTCATAAGTAGCTAAACAGCTAAAAAAATCTCATCAATCGAGCAAAGAGAAAAAAAGAACAGGCTGAATCTATCATATTTTGCATTTAAAATAAGATGAAAGTCTATATGACCTTGCACATGAATTCTATTTCCAAATATTATCATGACTAATCTGACACTTCAGAAGCAATTATTTATCTAACCCTAGTCGAACTTTTTTATTCATGCGCTTGCAAGACTTAAGTTCAAGATGTGTCCATAGCGCATGACTTTCTTACTCAAGACAAGCGCTTCAATGTTTGCATGAGTTACAAAAAAAAATGCAACTATAATTTTTTATTAAAAGTTGAGTTATTGTGAATGTAAAATTGAAAAAAAAGAGTTGAAAAAGTTCTTTAATAACAGAAACGCTTAGATAAAAATTCAAGCGCATGAACAAGAAGTTTAAGAACTTGAGTTCGCCGAAAGGGTTCATGTCTTGTCTCAAGATGTGTCCATAGTTCTTGACTTTCTTGATCAAAAAAGTCAAGAATTGCATGCGCTTGCAAAAAAAGTTCGACTAGAGAAAGCAATTATTCAATAACACGAAGTATCATGCATGACGATTGCAAAATTATAGAAATACCATCACTGGAGAGTAACCGTCCCGGTGTGGAATTTAATTAGAGTTATAAGAAAGAAAGAAATTTTGATCTTTACCTTAGATATATTTAACCGAATATTTTTGTTTCATTAGTTTCATTTGTTTTCATTCTTCGACATCAATCATCGATTCCGACAATTGAACATTGTTTATATAGGCTTTTTAAAAAAATAGCGAATCTCTGCTATATTGATCGTGCAATACCTTACCTTATAGTACGATTAAAAGCTTTTTGGTTGATTTCACTCACTGTTATATCTTGTATGGCATTTATTATTGTATTTTACTGGCCAAAATTACAATTTAATGCATGTCGAATAACATTTGATACTCTACCATTGCATCTGCCATATGAAAAATCAATAGCAATGACAAAAACATTTGATATTGATATTACCTATTATATGGGTTCACATTGGGAAGTACCCAATGAATCAATCATACCAGCCAATGATATTCCTACACTTGATTATAATTCTGAAAATAAAATGACATCGGAAATTGGCGGCACTAATACATTTGAATTTGCCTTACAAAAAAATCTGTTCTCTCTAATTGATTTTTGTTCACATTTAAAATCATTACAAGAAAAACGGCCTACGGAAAATGCGGCACATGAGAGAGAATTATTTAAGAAACATCATTATCAATATCCTACTTCACACGTGTTAAACAATCATTCATTCGACGAGTAAGTCAAACTGTTTTTTTGATATCAATGCTATTAATTACTTAAATGTACTAGAAATTTTCCGGAAAAGTTAAAACTAGAACGATACTTTTCTTTATTTTTTAGTCCTTCAATAGCATCTATTGAAAACAAATTAAATAGTGCATCGTTAATAATAAATAATATTCATTGTTTTGGTGATTTATCTGCATCCTATTCAACATATTCATCATCCAATACAAAATTTTCTTCAATCATTATTGACCAGCAAAATCAATCAAATAATTGTAGTTTGACGTGTTCACCGAATAGCACATCAAGTTTACATGAATGTATTCAATGTCTTAATTCGTTATATTATAATTCTAATAAATATGATGATTTATTTCTCGTTAAAAATGGTCTTCGTTTTATCAGTGATGCACAAAATCCTCGATATTTATTACAAACAATCAATTATAAATGGACTTTATTAAGTAATATAAATAATTTTCACGAATGGAAATTATTATATGAAAATTTAAAAACAAATTTCATAGAAAGATTCTATTCGAAAAGATTTTCTCATTTGTTATTTTGGTGGTCAAGTGAATTATTTTCAACCTATACAATGATGGAACAATTACAACAAGAAAAAAATGTTTTAACAGGAATCAAATTCCTTGTTATATTAATTACTTTATTATTATTTACGGGCATTCTTGGCATATTAGTCACATTAACAACATTATTTAATTTCATCACTTGTATTGCTGTACTGACATTATTGAATTATAAATTAACTGTAGAAAATATGTCCTATTTTACTATAGTACTTATTATTTGTTCACAATATTCTATACTTTATTCGATTAGGCAAGTTTGTCTTTTTTATTTTGAGAATACACTGCGTCAGAATTCATCCTATGACCAAAAATGAAACGAGTGTGGGATGTGCAGGATAATCAGATGCATAATAATTAGATAATAATTAGAGATGCCAGTATCTGACTGATAGTCACGCCTGTCGATTCATTTTCTCCAAGGGAAGGAAGCACAATTATGAGAAAAAGTCTACGTTGACGTTTGTGAGAACTTGCCGATCACAAAAAGTACATACTTATTTCCTAATGACATCATCAAGGTTTATGAATGTGATAAAAGCTGTAAACAAGATATTTACCTAGAAAAATTGCACTTGAAAATATACGTAGAAGAATATATTCGGTAGTAGCTATATCCAATTATTAGATTTAGAAAGCTCACTAGATTCAATGAACTTGATTTCTTGGAAAGAAAATATTAAAAAGACCTTTGCTATTTTATTTTTAGTTATAAATTAGCACCAACATTTTTCTTTCAACGTAAAAATCGAACAATATATTCTCTGAAACAATTATGTACCGCATTATTTTATTTAACATTTTCAATTATTGTGATATCAACTCCTTGTTTATTTTCATCGTTACCTTATCTATCGAAATCGGCGATGATATTTATAATATCATCATCGATCAGTCTTATCTATTCAACATTTTTTCTACAATCACTACTTTACTATATTGGTCCAGCTGATCATACATGTTTTTTAATGCCATGGCGTTTGAAATGCATATTGAGTTCAAGATCACAAGTCAATAATGGTAATGATTTATCATTGAGAAATCCATCAAATAAAAGCCGACGATATCAACGTATGTCAACATCATCGCACGCTGCATCATCGTATTTCTCACAAATGTTTACTGGTTCAACTTATTTCGAAAACGAATACAGTAGCGTTCTTGATAGTCTAACTGTTTCTTCTCGACGACGAGAAAGTTCACGAAGTTATCAGATATCACATGCAGCTAAACGTAATTCAGTATTAACAGGCGAAACTATTGAATTATATACTCCACGTGCAAGTCTTGCACCCTACGGACATCGTCGATATTCAAGACATACGTCCGTATCACGTGGTGTACCAACAACAGGTCTTGCACGACCACTCTATGTACTGTCATCAGCATCGCCTTATTTTCAATCGAGCTTTACTTCTCAAGTTCCTATGGAGCAACGTTCACCATCATCACATGTCTGTCAACAATCACGTTCACCATCGCCCTATTCATCTGGCCGACAATCATCTGTAGGACCAGCAAGTTCACTGCGTCCATGTTATTCAGCTCCTCGTCTACATGTGTCTCATCATCGGCTACAAACAAATAGTTTAAAACAAACTAATATTCTTATTGAAGAAACTTCTCTATTATCATCTGATCAAATTAGACAAACGCCACTGATGGATATTCAACGACAAGATGTTGTTTCACCGATAGATGAATTTGGCAAACCATCCGTTGTACCTCATGAAAAATTATCAGCAGCAAAAAAACGGCAGATGCTAAAAGCAACAACCGTCGAATCGGGTGGCCATAAGTGGTTGAAGCGATCCAGCAGTAGTTAAATTTATTCTACAAAACAAATTTTTTTATTATATATTCATCTATACACTTCTTGTTTGTTCATGTGTGGTTATCATTTGTCTTTTTTCAGATGATCATTGAGTCTAAGTGTGTATATATATATATAGGCAATTTATAGCCATTATGAAAAATATTTTTGATCGAGAGTGATTATAATGAATTAAATTTTTTTAGGTTAATATCACTGTTTATATTTCAATTACAACGATTGTTTTCGTTTTTTGCTTGTTCGTATGAATAATTTTTTTTAAAGAAAAAGTAATAAAAGTAATTATTTTATTAAATATACATAGCTAAATAGAATGTTCTGACGTAAGTTTCTTTCAATGGAATGAAACAATAGTGTCTGCTTCTGTCTCAGAAAAGGAATTTTTGTCCTGAAGCATTTTTCTCAAATAAAAATAGAGATTAATAAGACCAAAGGATTATTTAACTTTTTTCTTTTTCTTTATTTGAAAATATTAATTTGTAATATATTTTCAATTATTCTACTCAATGATAGATGCAAATGCTTTTTTTTCTAAAACTATTTTTAATATAAATGAATGACGTTCGACAAGGTTACTATAATATCTGTTTGGAAAATTCATTAAGTTACCTACAGCGAAATGCGTATTTTAATTATTGACCTTTCCACTAGACTCATGTCTGTTGACTTCCATAGGAAGTATTCCATCTTTTATATATGTAGAAAGAATAATTTCAAAGTACTAGTGTGCCTTTTGTCGAGCGGAAGACAATAAAATCTATGCGTTCACGAAGTAATATTCGTGTTGCAGAAGAAGAAAAAACTATTTTTAAGTACAGATGTACGTTATTGACTTCTTTGAAGAAAGAGAGTTGAATTCAAGTAGGATATTTCATACTTGAATAATTCATCTCATCTTACTTTGACAAAGGCGACAAAATAGAATATTTAAAAAAGAACATTTTCTTTTGTCTTTTGTTTTAAAAAAATCCGATTGGTTTAACACCATAAAGAATTTTTTCTTTATTAATAATGCTGGAGTTACTTAGAACGAATAAACACAAGATGTACCCATAGTATATATTGCAACTATAGAAATATTAGTGTCGAAAGATGTTTCATTTTTTCCTTATCGAACAAAGAACTTTCTCTATAAATGAGCTGAAGTATACTTTATTTATCAATCGAAAGGTCAATAGCCAAAATTTAGATATTCTAACTAAAAAAAATAATTTTTAATGTCTGTTCAGATTATTTAATTACGCAACATGTCCAAATTGACCGTATAATTTGTTTAACATAGTAGTTAAAGCCATTACATCAGTAAAATCCAGTGTACCATTTTGATTTTGGTCGACGGCTTGGAAAATTCCTTTTGCCAAATCTAAATTGTGCAACATTAGAATAATTAATCGATTCCTATCCATACTTACACGTTGAAGCACCACCAAGGCCTAGTTCCTGTAAATAGAGTTGTATATCTTCTACTGCTATTTTTCCATCGCCATTTTTATCGAGTTGCTTGTACATGGCATACATTTTTTGGACATTTTGAATGGTTGAACCTAGAAAAAATCGTAAATTTTTTCTATAGTTATATTAATATTTAGAAAAAAATCTTACCAGCACCACCACCTTGACCACCTGAAAATGCTTCATAAGCTTTCATTGCACCCTGAAACATATTACCTGGATTTTGTCCACCAGAATACTAGAAAAACACAAGTATGATTCATGAAAAAAGTTTCTTTCGATATACTACACTTGATACATCCTCTGAATGTTCATGGTTTTGTGAAGCTTCTTGTTTTGCTCGGCTACGAAATTGATTTACGAATGAACCAACATCATCGATACCAACTTGTTCAAGCATACCATTCAACGAACCATTTTCTAACTGTTCGCGACCAAAATTAAAGATATCCATTTTATTGTATTAATCTGAAAACTAAAAAAACATGAAAAAGACGTCAAGCGCATTACCTTGTGAAGGTCCCGCCCTTACTACTATTTATCTCAATCACACGAATGAAGAGGAAAAAAATGCACAACCCTTACGGATTATTTTCGTTCTCTCCTATAATCAATGTACAATGATTAAAAACCTATTAGCGATGAATGGATTGCTTTTTTTTCTCTATAGAATTCATGGCAATTATTAGAGAGAGAGAGACATAAGTCATGACTATATTTTTTCGTTAATAGTAAGAAAGTGTGTGTTCTTTTATATGATCGTTTTGCTACGTATGAATTATTTTATAGTGGCTTATTTTGTGTATAAACTATTCGTACACTAATTTCGAATAGAATATACTGGCGCATATAAAGCTTCAGCTTCGCTATGAATATATGAGGTATTTGCATTGATTTTGTACAATTCACCGTGATTTTATTTATGATTTTTAAAGAACAATTCAAAAAAAAATGAATTTGATTGTTTACTTTAATCTCGAGTATCATGGTTCATCAATTCATAAAAATTGAAGAAAAAATAAGCTCTTATCAACTATTATTTTACACACGAAAACAAAACACCGTAGACTATAAACGGACACATATGCACACTCGCGTGTAATATGTTTCGATGAAAAACAAACAAAATATTTTTGCAAAATTTGGTTTACAGTAAATTGGATTTAGTTGCAATATCAAAGACTAGTTGTAAGACGGTCGATATCTTTTTGGGCATTTGTGGAATGCTTGAATAATTTTGTTTAGATCATTTGATGTAAAATCTAATAATACGAATTGAACAAAAAAACAACTAGTGAATTAGTGAAGATTATTTATTTATTATTTACATTGCTTGCATTCTACTTCAGTTAACGAAGCCGTCAGAGGTGAAAACAAAAAGCAAGAACAGTCATAGATAAATACACTACATAATAATAAAACAATAAGCCAAAGACGAGTCGACATTTTGGCTAACCAATAAATCTAAACAAAAAAAATGAAATTAAAATACGAAGCCTATACCTAAAAAACTCCAGTATATAAGGAGTTTTGACCTTTACTGATATCTGCGACAATTTTGAAAGAAAGAAAATATATAAAATTTACTACAGAACGACAAGTGCTCAATTCGTACGTACTTTGTTCTTTCTTTACGAAAAAACTAAGTATAACTCATGTCTAACTATGTCAACATTAAATTTTTTTCCATAAAATCTATTCATGCTACTATTGACATTGAATTCGAAGTAATAAATGAAAAGAATTATATACTTTTCATACACTATTAAGATGAAGGGGAGGAGGGGGCAAAGCTCACACCTATTTTTCCAACATAACTAAAACTTATTTGCCAAAGAACTATTGCATAGACTTGAAATGTGTGTACAGACAGATTATTGGTCTGCTATAAAGCTACATATTATTACTCATTCTCTGTAAAAACAAAAGCACTAGATGATGATCGATAGCTATTGCTTGCTCACGAAAAATGAATCAGTGCTATGACTAAAATCAGCAAGTATGCATTTACTAACTTGAATAATTTCGTTGGAATGATTTATTAAAGGCGTCCTGGTGATATTGGTCTAATTCTTTTATATTGCAGGAAAATAGGAAATAATTTCTTTGAAAATAAATCCAAATAAAAATACTTTAGTGTTAAAGGCGCACTTAAAGTTCGCTCAATATTCTTCAAAAAAAACCGAGTTAAACGTGGCATAGATCAGTCTAGTTCAAAAACTTGACGATGCATTTTGCAGGAAAATGCTGGTGATGTATAAAAATAAAATTCTTCAAACCTGCTCTTGCAGTGGAACCGATTTCTGTATGCTAATCTTAGATATATATATATATACATATGAATCAGCCTTAGTGAATGAGTACTTCAGAAGGAAGTCGTTTTTCATTTCCGATGAAAATCATTTGAATTGCATTTTTGATATTTACTGAGCGGAAGTACGTAAAACCAAGCCCGTTGATTTCTTTTCAATAGGTACCGAAATTAGTACGTTGGAAATTTTTTCAGGTGAAATATCATACGTCATGAAGCTCTGACAACGATTATTAGTCACTTGTATATTTTCTATAAGTCCTGCTGAGATAATTATTTTGACACGCTTATTGATTGGCTTCTGACAGGTAAGATTTGAAGCTATTTGTGTAGCCTTTCGAAAAACTTGGCATAGTTCGATCTATGAATTTTTTTGCATCGAAATCGGCTTAGTAGAATTTCGCTTATGGACACTCTGATCCCCTTACATAAACTACTGATCGGTAGATCAGTTCAATGGAATTTACATGCATTACACAATATTTTGTTGATTATCTATTAGTTTTTACTAACGTATATTATCGATGATTCATTTGAATGAGATATTGACCGAGATAATAAGAAAAAATAGATGAGTTAACCTATTCCCCATGGTTCAATGAGCGTTCAAACAAAAACATTGATATCGAGTCGATGAACTTTAAAAAAAATCATGTTTTAAATTTTATTAAAACCAGTCTAATGGTTAAAAACGATTGCATTCGCACGTTACAATGAAAAACCGTAATTAAACTGTAAACGTACTTTATTTAACCTGATATGTTTCGTAACAAGTCCGAACGATATTTAAGATATATAAACGGAATTATAATGCGGAACCCAGAAATATGAAAATTTTGCCAATACAATATGACCGAAGATAAAAAATATCTATTTGCTTGATAACTATCAGGTGTTATTTTTATTAGATGAATAATAAGTTTAGCAGAACTCATATTACTTACTCATAATCAAGGAGTCGAGAGTTCAAACTGATGTAATCATCATTCTCCTTATTAACAGTCAAAATTCAACGCGAGATAAGTATTGTGTTGCCCAACAGTATAGAACTATGTGAAGTTTGCATTAAGAATACGCCAATAGTACTACAGGAATACATTTTTGAATGTCAACCAAAAGAATATATCGAAATTTATTTGCTTTTGAATCAGAGAAAAATATTGTTTAAACAAGCTGTCTGGCACGATCCGATAATCAGTATCTTCCTGAAAAATGTTATATTTTTTTTCCAAATAATATATAAACAGAAGAATTAATTAGTCATTTTTATTTTCGGTCAATAAATTATTGCATTGATGATTGAAAAATGTTACCGCATGCTGTTTTCAGAATATCTTCATTTTCCGATAAACCATGAATTTTCATTACAAACGTAGCAACCAGAAAAACAAACCAGCAACGCATCGGCATAATCATAATCGATTTGATACACTAAAAGCAACAGTAATTTTAGTTAGACTCATGAATAACATAAAAACCCAAAGAATTTCATTACCGGATATAAAAGTCTCCTGTTATTTATGCTAATACTATGATAAAGTGGCAATGTCCTATTTTTTTTATACTCTGAAATATACTTCACTAAGCATGAATTTATCTCGTGTCACTATTTTCATAAAGAGTTTTTTTGGATGAAAAAAGGAAACAAGGTTTTTAGTTCACAGTTCTATTTTCATATCTTACTATGAAAGGATATAGTAAAGAGATCGAAAATAGAAACTATATTTTTTTATTGGATGCTTGAATACATCAATGGAGTGTGTTTAAGTACATATTCCATTTAAGGATTTGAATTGTAGCAAACAAAATACGATAAGAAGTCAATGCAACATTTTATGTATTTAAAAAACCTTGGATAGAACAGCGAAATAATCTTTATATTCACTGAGGACGTTCCGCTGATATTTTTCATTTATTTATTTAAGAAATGTTGAAACTTTCCGCTGGCAAATAGATCTCATACAGTACTGATAACGATGCTTTTATACACACAGAAAAAAATCGTTGTTGCCAAAAATATTTCAATTATTGTAATATTGTTCGTTAATACGTGAGAGATATTTATCTAAATGAAATTTTTCTTCTTTGCTTTTATGAGCCATTTTCTTGGGCAACAAAATAAAGCTAGCAAATGCTTATGAATATCATTCGATGCATAATCTAAATTAAATATAATAAAAAAAAAGAATGAGAAACGAATTCAGGTTTCAACTTACAATCATATGGATTCATGCCCAGTTAGCGTTCCTACATATTGATCGTTATTCGCAGAAATTACAAGTAGACATAGAAATAGAATAAAATAGAGTCTTTGTGATATCATGATGACAATTGTTTCATGTAGGAATTTATCCATAAAATAAATTTTAATACACCTTTAGTTCAGTTGATAATCAGCAGGTGGGTGTAATAGATGCACAATTAGTAGAAAAATAGATTCGTAATAAAAATAGACAATTGTCAGGACTGGAGTAGAACCGATAACATTATTTGCAGTCATGGTGATCTATTTAAACACGCGCGAACTCATGAAGTAGTTGAAACAATCTAGACTAAGTCAAACAAAAACTTCGTATTGCTTAAATAAATTATGATTTTGTTTTCGAGAAGTTGAAATGCCTTATGTTAATTTTTGTGTTAAAATCTGCGAAAACTAAGAAAATACCGTTTTAAAAATATCTTTAATTGGAAAAGAATTTGACAATATAAGAGTACGCCGTAAGTTGACAGGTAGTATACAAGCGGAAAGGCAGGACAATACGTAGTCAAACTGAAGATCCTAGATTGAGAATATGACAGTCGATAACTGATAAAGAAAAAATCTCAATTATTTTTACTAGGTGGTTCTATTTGTAAAAGAAAAGATGTAGAGTAAATAACAAGAATGACTTTTTGTTGCGCAAATCTTTGCCTAACTTGCACACGTGTATATCCTCTGTCGTTATAATAGAGCCATGAAACACGAGAATAGAGTCAGTATTTAAGATAGCAATAAAATTATACTTTTCTAGCAGATCACTAAATGTATAATAGTATATGATAGACTTCATCTTTAAAATTGTTTATTTTTTTTGTTAGAAAATACGAAATATTCGGTAGTGTCATATGTGAAAAGAATTTAATTAGAAATATTTCTAAAGATCGAAATGACTTCACAAGAAAACAGCAACATCGACAGTTCAGGTCCAGAATGTTTTCACATTGGTGTAGCTTCTTGATGATCCTGGCTACCATGTATAATTAATTATTGACAGTTGATCTTGATAATGAAAATATTAATATGATATGAGAACAGGTATTGTAGTGTGCAAGTGACTAAACAATAAAAAGTTTCAGTAGGAAAAATCGTTGTTGAAATTGCTGCAGGGTTAAAATGTACATTTTTTCATCGAGTCACTCTAGTTAATCACAAAGAACAATTTATATTGTCTAATCGAAAAAAGATTTATTCATCTCTCTTTCATTTAATTATTCAGATATGGAATAAATAATTCGCATAATATCACCCGACGCGTCGGTTATACAAAGTCAATCATGCTGAGTCAAGAATTTGACTTCTTACTTGAAATGAATCAAAAAAACGATAGCATTTGTCGTTGCATCGAATTTTTGTTACACGATTCTCAATCATTATGAAGTAATAGCCATTTTGTGAAACACGATCTGAAACGAGTGTTGAAGTACATCGCGTAGAAATTTAGACCC